GGATCTGCTCAACAAAGACAGTAGCCAAAATCTGCATATTTGAGTCAGCAACAACTGACATCAGGGTGTTTCCCCGGGGTTACGAGCGCCTGCACCCCAGAAACTGTGGTGCGCATTCCTATCCCCTATATTCCTATCCCAATAAAAAGTGCCTACCTACAGAGCGAAACAGGCGCAGATATTTCTCAGCCGACCAAACAAAATTCTGAAAATCTGAGCAAACTTCTGGCAACTGCTTGCAGGTCAGGCTCCAATATTGTGGCGCTTGGGTGATAATCTAAAGAGAATTCGACCATCACAGCAGCACCACCACGATGTCGATCATCAGGAAGAATGGACGGCTGATAAAATGTGTCTCTGAGATCAGTAAAATGTCACTGTTACGTTCCTGGAGTAGGTGCTTAATCTCTGCTAACTAAGTTCTTGGCGTTCTGAATAACGATATTTATCCCCTAATTGATTAATCCGTACCAACAGCTTGTTAATTGCAGACACTTACTGCTTTCTTATTCATTACCAAATTCCAGAAACCTGTCCTTGCCAGGTTGTTCATACAAAGAGGTCTCGCTTACAGTTACAATATTTGGTTGGCTTAGTCGGCGTAATACTTTTTTACCTAAATCAAACGATAGCATGGGCTAACTTCGGAATGCAGGAAGACGCAAGGCAAACCAACCATTTTGAAACAGGCAGGAAAACGACGGGCGCACTATGTATAAAACCACAGCTAAATGCTCAAGAAAGAGGTACAGTTTCATGGCCAGGCATTTCCCCTTGTCCTTTGGCTCATGGTCACCTTCACATCTGGCGAATTTAAAGAATGCCTAAACTCTTGACAACGGAAACACCTTACAGGATCGTTTTTTTGAAGCTGCGCTCCCACTGCAACTACATCAATTATAAACAATTATTGGGAAATCATATTCATCTTTGTTTTTTGTAGCTCAAGTTATAGTTCAACAAGGAATACATCCCGGTTTCCATTTAAATTCTCGCAGGGGGTTATACATATATGATATATATATGATGGACGTTGATGCACTTCGAGCAGTACAAACAAGTGGTCCAACGACACCAAGCACGTGCTTGTTACGCGTGGGGCCCTATTATCAATTTGGGCAAAAAATGCGAGTTCGCGAGGAAGATACATAAAACAAATAGAGACAAGACACAAATGAAAATTAAAGGCACAACTAGATTGGAGCAAATGAGTTAAAATATTAGTTTTTAATACCGGGATAGAAGTTGAAATGCAAATTAAATGATAAAGGATGTTATAGTTATTACATAGGGCGCGAAAGGGCTCGGGCAGACAAAAATTTGATGTACATCGTGGCAAATTTAGAGGATAATAATTTCGTATTAGTCTATCAGGAACATTGAAAGTTAGGCGGTTTACAAGTTCTGCAGAATCAAAATCACCTCTTATAAGATTTTGCATAAAAGAAGAGAGTGGTTGACGGAGTCAAAGGCCTTACTAAAATCTGTATATATAACGTCAGCCTGCATTTTGTTCTTAAATCCATTTATTACAATAGATGACAATTCAAGAAGGAATTGAAGGACAATTCAACCACCAGATCGATCTTCGCTTAACAAAACCACGGTGATATAAGCGAGAAACATAAATGTTGCAAATGAGAAGTTCAAATGCTTTAGGAATTGCAGAAAATTTAGAAATACCTCTATAATTCTTGGCAACCGCTTTCGCACCATTTTTATGAAGTGAAATAATAAAAGAGTCCTTCCGGATAATAGGAAAAACTGATGATGAAATAAACAAATTAAAAAATTTAAGAATCGGTTTACAAATGGTTGACGCACAAAACTTAAGCACACATCCAGGAAGTCCATCTGGACCGGGAGAATAAGTCGGCGTTGTTGTTTCTAAATCGATTAAGACAGAGTTTTCAGTAATTAAAGGGGTAAAAATACAATTTGCCCTATTTAAGGGATTAGGGTAGTTAGAATTTGACCAAGCTGTCGAACTATAAGTGGTTTGGAAAAACTCAGCAAATAAATCAGCAATATCAGAATCCTCCGTTGAGTTTAGACGTACCGGCGAAGGCAATGTCGATGACTTACGCTTGGCATTAACAAAGTTGAAAAACTGTTTCGGATCATTTGAAAATTCAAATTTACATCGATTTAGATACATAGAATAGCAATGACTGTTGAGAACATTGAAATCCGATCGAGCCACCACATATTTCGAAAAATCTGATGTCTTACCCGATTTTTTATACTTTTTATAAGTGTTTGATTTAAGGTTTTTAAGTCTTTGAAGCGCATTGGTAAACCAAGGAGGCCTGTTTAGGTTTGAAGGAAACTTATCAGGAACGCATTCATTAAAAAAAGTATTTAACACTATAAAGAATAGTTCAGTCGCACTTTCAATATCTGTACAAGTCTGTCCAATTATAATGAGAAATCATATCGTTAAGTTTATTATAGTCATATTTACGAAAACATCTCATTTTAGTTGGAGAAACTAAAGGAGAGAGGGTATCAGGGCAGGGGAGGCAAATTGTCAATCCCATTGTTGGATGATATCGCTCTTCAGGTACAACAAGAGCGTCAATTCTACATACCGAGACCTCAGAAACAAACACAAGATCTAATTGTCTATTTAAGGAATTTCGTATAAAGCTTACTTGTTGTAACGATAATTCTAAAAGGCCATCCACAAAATCAAGGGCAGATAAAGGTATAGCGACAAGTGAGTCAGTAGGAGGAGACCAAGAAATATCAGGTGGATAAAAGCCACCCAAAACAATCAAAAGGTCTCTGTTAGAAAGAAGGGATAGAACGGATTTTATCGCAGACAGATGGTGCTCATAAATTACTAGATCAGAGCCAGGTGGAATATAAGAACATGTAACAAAAATAGATAAAGATTGCAAGGAAACTTTAACACTTACAAATTCAATTTTATTTGGGATTAGAGTGAGAATTCTTTCAGATGTTAGGCTAGAGGTAACGGCAATCAGCACACCGCCCCCCCTACGTGAGAGGCGATCTATCCTATAAGTATTCAAGTTATTTGACAGAACTTCAGAGTCAGATATCTCTGGTTTCAGCCAAGTTTCCGTAAAAGCCAAAATATCTTCAGTGAATGCAGAGTAGTCAGCATAAAGCTTGTGAAGCTTCATATTTAGTCCCCTAACATTTTGATACGCCAAAAATAAACTTATTAGTTTTTTGGCACAGTGGAAGGCCTGTTATTTGTTCTCGGTTTATTTATTGGGAACAAATTCTTTAATTACTAAATCATCATTAATCCAAAAGCTTTCAGAAAGTAATACATTAAACACATCAGGCGCAGCGAATATTTTAAAAGATTATATCCTACGAGCGTATGAAAATCGTAATTATTAAACTGCAATATTTTCGGATCGTATTAACGGCGGTTAAACTGGCTTTTTGCGTTTAGAAGACTCGGTTAATAATTTTTTATTATTAAACAGGGCACAGACGAAATTGAACCCCTCATTGAGTTGTTTAAATGCTCCTGAGATATTCAATTGGCTGTCTCGAGTCTGCTTCATAAAGCCGCTCATCTCAACTACCATTTCCTTGCAGGACCCACATGACCACATGAGAACAGAATTAAGATCAATGAAATCTTTAACTCTGCCAGTAAATCCTGCACATTTAACGTGCATTATTGAATCGCAGAGCCAGCAAAACATAAAAGGGTCTTTAGTTGAAGACGCAAGAGTACAATTTTTCTTAGAACAGACAAGAGCCATTATAAGTTTAAAGCAAATAAAATTAAAATATGAAAAATACCTCAAAGTTAGAGAAATAGCACCGAAAAAGTTTACCAGAAGTTCAGCAGGTTCATAGAAAGTAAATTACAGTTATAAAATAGAGCGGGAGAGATTGAGAGGGAGTAAAAGAGTTGTAGTAAGTTTAGAGAGTGTAAATTACACTGACAAAGCTACGAGATTAAACAAATCTAATAAAAATGTTAAAATAACTAAACACATACCCGATTACTGGAAGATCTATTTAAATTTACTAACACAATTATTAGGCTAAGCTTTGTAAAGAACGAATATTAGCTTAACATGCTTAGTGAAACCATGGCCAAACTCAGGTGCGCTGATTTCATAGGGATAGCAAAAAGTGAAAAGCTATGGCGAATAATTTTCGATTTTAGCATTTCATTAACCACGTATAGGCGGCCTCTTTTCATCTATGCAATTAGTTTACAATTTTCTAAAGTCTCTTTAAATTTGTCGACTATGCTTTCCTTAACCAAGGAATATTGTGGTCCAGAGTCAAAACAAAATGGAGCAGAATCAACAGACAAGCCTATTACTCCTTTTGGTTTTACAAGAAAACATATTTGGCGGTTCCACTGTGCCCGCTGCTTTCTAACGTCTTGCTTAGGGATATTACCAGAGCGCGCCTTCCATTACGTCGCTTGCAAATATAAGGTCAGCCGTACATCAAGGTTCGGGGTCTGCTCCAGCACCACCGGTGTCAGGTGTATTCTGCACTGGTGCTTTCGGAATCTGTATGTTCTTGAATATTTCCATATGTTTTGGTCAGGTGCCTGTCCATTGGGCAAAGCCGATACCACTTTTGATGTCGCAGAAATCTTCGCTTCCTTTTTGCTTTGTCATGACAAAAACGTCAATGATTATATTATTATAACAAAAACTATATACCTCGTGTTTAAAGGATATTTATATACAATTTTTATTTCCAATTTTTAAAACAAACATTTAAAAATTATTATTATTTTTTTAAATTAAAAATAAGCATTTAAAAATTTTAAATTGAAAAAATATCATTTCTAGATTATTTGACCCTTAACTATAATCCATACAAACAAGATATTATAAAATGTAATGGATAAGAATATATTTATTAGAAATGCGATAATTTTATTATTGTTAATATACCCTAATGTTTATAAATATTAAATCTCGGAAATGCCAAAAAACGATTTTAAAATAATTAATTTTATATGTTTACATTTTTTCTAGACTCTCCAACACAAATGGGTTCTTTGCAGTCTTTAAATATGGATTCGAAAATTCGACAATCCTTTGTACCTGATTATTCCGTTCGTGCTATATCTGATGTGATCTACATTGCAATTAAAAGGGTTTTATATCTTACGGCAAAAAAAGCTACTTTGTTGGAAAAGAGTCGTAAATCAGGAACATTTTCCAGTGAGACTTTTGATGATGAAGTGGAACGATTATTACACTCTATAACAGAAGATGAAAAACCACGGTTCCTTGCACCAAATCAAAGTACGAGACGCCTATCTAAGCCTACCCGTAGTGTGAATTCATCACCTACAAATATAGAATTATCTCACGACGAAAAAAGCAACAGTGTCAGTGAACCTTTTAAAGATAACCGGAAGAAAAGCAACCCTGAGTATACGGATAATGCCTCTATAAGTAGTTTAGTTCCTTCAGAAGAAGGAGATCTGCAAAATGGAGAACACGATGACAGAGACACGCCAGCAGCTTCCATGCCCCTTTTGCCAAAGTTGGATGGTAGTTCTGAAAGTTGGCAAAGTAAGCCTCAATAAGAAAATAAGGTCAACATCAATTATTGAGCTTATTGTAGATAATTAAATTTTCCGTAATATTCAAAAACTGTTGTTAAACTCGAAATCTTAAAGCCTTATAGTTACTTTTCACGCATATTTGTACTTTACTTTACTTGTATTATTCCTTAATTGTTGTTTAAATTCAAGTAAACATGTTTGATTACAAAGCTTTCATAGAATAATTAACTTTTATATTTTTGTGTGAATGAAAAGTTACCCTGCACTAGTGTTATTAAACAGGTAACAAATATATAAATACAAAATGCATGTCTTTATATATTTGTTTTCATTATTATTTACCTATATTTGCGTTGCCTCGTAAATATCGTACTTAAAATGTTATTTAAGCAGTATAGCTTATCCTTCTTACTCTTTATTCCCTGTTCCTATTAAGTGGTTTTTATCTTGATTTAATTATATGTTATAGAAGAAAACACTTAAATGTGTTCTTAAACACAGCCAAACTGGTGTAAGCCCTTTTTCACTTGTAATAATTTAATAAACAAATTTAACCAGAAAGCGTCTTTAATTTGATCATTCAATGCTTACTTTTAAGTTTAAGTTATGTTATTTATGCTTATTTATGTAATTTTCTGAGAAATTATATAGTCTTACATAAATGTGTGTATTCACTTAAAGAATTGGCCTTATTACAAAATATGAGGTTTTACAAAATGTATTGCTTACTTAATTCAGTCAATTGAATTAATTTGGCACGCGTACATGTACATCCGGTATTCGGATTGTTACAGTCAGTTCCTTAGTTTTTGAATAATGTACGATTAACTAATTATCATCCTGTACTAAATATAAAAGTTCTCATAGAGAAGAATATTATAAATAAAAGTATTTGATAATTTCCCATAAATCATTAAATTTTTGGATTAATTAAATGTTAATCGAAATTTGAGTTAATCATAAAGTGCTTTGTTTTAATAAACGACTAATTTTCATTCTATTTCCTCTGAAAAGGAATGTATTTATTAATCAAAACATATTTCTTGAATTCTTTTTATCGGGCGTTGCCCTTTAAAGACGTCAACCCAAATTACTGTTTCTTAGCACTCCTGACTCTCCGCAACTCGGTTTGAGACAAAAACCGACAAACAACAGTTAAAGAGATGAGCTGCACACAACTCAAGGCGAGGCATTTGCGTCCTGTTTAGGGAAGCTAACTAGCTGTGCGAGTACGAACGAAAATTCACGCTCCATACAAGTGCTTGTTAGCGGCATACAAATCATTTATTTCTATGAGGGTGTTGGCATTAGTATGGATGCTGCCTTCGACAGCTGCAGAAGCTCTGCTCTAAAGGCTTGATGTTAGCAACTGCATTAGTAGCACTATCCCTCTTTTAAAGCCAGTCTCTTCGCATTTGTTTAGCAATCAGTAAACAACTGTTAAAATTAACATTATGAGAGTTATTACGTAGGGAAACTGAACATTTGTTTATCAGATCTCAGATTAAGAATTGAATTGATCCAATCTTACTGCGTTCCTGAGATTGCGGAGACAGCGGGCGGAAACCTCAGATATGATTATGCTGGGTTCTTCAAACGTAAGCGGATTTATCGCGTTTGCAACCGTGACACAAGCGTCACAATAGAATTGGAGGGTTTGGCCCTTGCATAGGTCATTACTTGTTCAGCCAGTAAAACCAGCGCAGTTCGAGTGCACATTATTTCCACACAGCCAAAAAGTCATGTCTGTGTGTTCAGCCTGGTTTCTTCTGTCTCCCGCGCTTTTAAATTCGTATTTGTCCAATGCAACGAATTTCACTTATTTCAATTCCGACAATTTTTACTTCACATTTTTTACAGCGTTATTGTTCAGTCAAATACACAAAAATTCTCGTTTTCAATCTTTATTCTGCGTTTCAATTTTGTGCTTCCTTAGCGCGTCTACTTTTCACAACTCTTTTCTTCACATTGCCAGTAAGACCAGCTCATAACAAAACAAATCTCTTTCCTTTTCAATAACAATACATATTTTTCTCAAATTAATACTAAATCCTTACATCCTCCCTCCCCGTGAATCGTCCTAGGATTCTCCACTTAACTTAAGTTTAATTAACTTGGATGTTGGCCGGCGTAGCACGTTATCTTCAGTTTTGACGTCGGCAGAACGAACTTGTTGATCCTTCCCGACAAACACCTTTATGACTCTTCCTTTTTTCCAAGTACTTCTCGGTGCAGTGGCGTACTAAGTACCAAGTACTAAGTCATCAACTTCAAATGGAGTTGTTTTATGATGTCATTTAGTTCTAGACATGAGTTGAGGGAGATACTCAACTATCCACCTCTTCCATAAGCGATCCTTAAGGGCTTGAGCGATCCTCCATTGCTTCCTTAGGCAAATAGCTTCATCCGGTGGGTGTGGGGTTTGCGTTGAATTTGTGCATCCCATTAAAAAGTGGTTTGGTGTCAAAGGCTCTTCTGCTTCATGTGTTAAGGATATTTCAGTTAAAGGTCGCGCCTTCAGAATGTTTTCCGCTTCTATTAATACTGACTGAAGAGTCTCAACGCGTGGGTAAAGATCGCTTAAAGTTTTCTTCAACAATCCCTTTATGATTCGAATTAAATTGAAAATCCATTTAATACCCTTTTGAGCCGCTTCGTTCGGTATAGTATCGAAATCCAACAAACTCTCAGGATCCTTGAGCTCCTTATTAGCACCGATGAAGTTTGTGCAGTTATCGCTTCGATTAATTACAGGTGTACCCTTACGGTTGACGAAATTTCGTAGACAGATTATAAATACATCTGTTGAAAGGTCTGCACCTTGTTCAAGATGAGTTGCTAACGCTCGGCGTTGGCCGATCAGGTGGCAATTGACACTTCTGTGGGGTTTTCGGTAATCTTCGGTCTATAACACATCTAGAGCATTTGAGCTAACTTTGTTAAGCAATTTCCTGACATGCGGAATCCAAAACTTTTGTCGACTTTCGTTGATTATAACCGCCTGATTTTGATAATGATATTTTACATGAAAATATCTCATGATAAGGGTGGACACTTTGTGATCTTTCGGGAGCAGAATAGGTCGCCGTCTCGAGCTTGGAAGATGTGATGCCTCATCTATTCGACCCGCGAGGTGTAACAGGCCATCTGTCTCTATGTAAGGTGAAAATCCATAAATTACACTATCCCTTGACAGCATTTTGTTGTTTATTAATGACGTGATCTCATTTGCGTATGCCTCTTGCTGGACCAGTCTACATATCTCGATTTCGGCATCAGATAGTTCGTCGGCAGTCAAAGATCCTCTCTTGGGTGCAAGTTTAAGCCAAATTATTTTTGCATGCATTACCCAGGCTACAACACGCTTCAGATTACTGTAAGAAGAGAATCGATTAAAATGTATAACTGAGACACCTACCCGACACCTCAGCATTTTGCGTTCGCAAAGTTCCTCTTCCAATGGTTCCGTTGCAGCTATGTCAATCATCTGTGGCCAGTCTGAACGTGGCGATTTTAATAAGCTTGGAGCAAGTATCCAAGGACTGTCGTTACATATTTTTGGTAAATTACTCAAACGTCCGCGGTGTTCAAGTTGGATGGTACCCAGTTCCATTGCGTTGATGTAGTACTGGCTAAGATCTCGGCAATTCGGTGGCCGACAAATGGTTTAAACTTTCTTGCTTTCATGACAATGGCAACATCAACTTTAGTTGGACTAAGAACACATAAATAGGCAACAGCTGCAAAAGCGGCCTGGCTTGCGTCAACAAAAATATGCATTTCCAATTTTTCATAACAACTTAAGTTGGGAGAGTATACTCGCGAAATTTTAAAGTGGTGCATATGACACAATTCTGGTAGTCAGTTGTTCCAATTTTGATGTAACTCTGTTGGTATAGCGTCATCCCAATTTGTACCATTGCTCCATGTATTCTGTACAAGAATTTTGGCATATATATGATAGTCCGCAATCAAGCCAAATGGGTCGAATATTGCCATCACTATGCCTAGTAGCTCTCTCTTAGTTGGAACTCGATCTCCATCTATTACTCCTTTCGGTATTCGATGAAACTTAGTTTCGAATTGAAAGACATCTTGCTGCGTATTCCAATACATGCCCAAGACCTTTTCACTGCTCGATTGGTTCTGTAGATAACTTGAATGCCTTTGGAAGTTTTTACCATTCATGACGCTCTGTAATGTATCGGAATTCAAACAAAAATTACGTAGTTCGAAACCTCCAAAACCATGAACCTTGACTATTTGTTGACAGATTTCGATGCCTCCTTCCTCTGAAGTAAAACTTATGACGAGATCATCCACGAATAGCATCTGCTGCCCTTGGATATTGCTCTCTGTACTCTTCAGCATTCCGATTCTTGACATAATCGACACAAAATGGTGAGCATATGACGCCAAATATTAAGGAAGTCATAGCATAATGTCGAATTGGCTGAGTCGAGTCTCCATTTCTCCATAAAAAACGCTGTTCGTGTTGATCAGTTTCGTGCACCTTTATTTTGGAAAACATTTCCCGAATATCTGCGGTTACACCGATTTTGTTTTGTCTGAACTGCATAAGAATGGCTACCAAAGACTTTAAGTTGTCAGGACTGCCATCCTCATCCATCTAGTAATGGGCAAAGTCGATGCAGGAACTAAAAGAAAATGGGAAGAACAGTTAGATTATACCTCGCTTCCTCTTTGGAGCGAGTGTGAGTCGGCCCTGAGCGTCCAAACAAAAAGTGGCGAATTAGTTTTAGCTCGAGCGTTGCTCGATTCTGGTTCACAAGTAAATTTTGTGACCGATGAGCTCGCCCAGAGACTTCAGATTAAGAGAGAGGACGTGTGTTTGAGCTTGCGGGGCATAGGTGGAACTAATGCTCAAGCAACCAAAAAAATACACACGATAGTCAAGTCGCGAGTGGGTAGCAGTCAATTGTCGTCCGAATTTTACATATTAAAAAATATTTCTGGTTATCATCCGGATCAAACGGTGAACACCAGCGGCTGGAGGGTGCCTGAAAATATTCAATTGGCAGATCCATTCTTCTTCAAGCCCCAAAAAATAGACATGCTTATAGGCGCAGACTCGTTCTTTGAACTATTGTCAGTCGGCCAGATAAAGCAAGGGCCTGAGTTTCCCATTTTGCAGAAAACAGTTCTCGGCTGGATAGTGTCAGGGAGATGTGCGTCAGAAAAAATAAGAAATGCTGAAAAGTTGGTACATCTCAGCTGCCAGGAGGAAGTGTTGGAGTCAATAGACACAACCCTGCAGAAATTTTGGTCTGTGGAGGACTTGCCGCCCAAGGCCAAGGTCCATACTCCTGAGCAGCAACTTTGTGAGCAACACTTTGAGAAAAATACTCAAAGATTGTCGTCCAGGAGATTTTCGGTCTGCCGTTCAAATCTGACCCAAACACTCTTGGTTCATCATATGAAGTTGCGAAACGTAGATTTTCGTCGCTTGAAAGAAGATTATCCAAAGATCCTTCTTTAAAAAATATGTATCTGGAATTCATGGAAGAATATGAAGCCATGGGCCACATGTCTTCCACTAA